TGTGTTACTTCTGAGAAATGGGAATAGGTGTCTCTATTCTTACGCAATTACACTTCCAAGCACTGCTTACAGATAGAAAGAGAAAAGCTCATGAACACATTTGTCTACCTGGATAAAAATCTCTCCTGATTAAACTCTCTTAGTCCATTTATTACTTCTATTTATAAACTTGCAGTTCATTACTCGAAAATGTAATGATTAGAATACTGAGGGCCAGACTACCACAGGTCAGCCCTGGGACGCGAGAGGTACAATCACTTACCTAATCCCCAAGCACCAGGTGCCTGTTTGCACATGCAAATGCACGTCTCATTAAAATTGGCTCATTCCATTATGGCTGATCTTTGAAATTTGATCATCAAGTTGCAACCAGGCAGCCAAAGATGATCTCAGTTGTGCCTTAATTGTAAACATGCTTTCTCTTCCTCCTAGATGTGCCGTTTGGCTTGCAAACAGACCCGCAAGTCACAACCATTGTGGGGAACGACGTCCAGTTGACCTGCCGGGCCTCCAAGTACATCTACAGTCACCTGGCCTGGTATTACCCCTCCTCAGAGGTGGCTCTCAGTGATTCAGTCATCAAGAAAACTGACAATTATTCCATTTCTTTGACGCTGGTCATTCCTAATGTCACGAAGGAACAGAGCGGCCTCTACAAGTGCAGAGCCCAGAACCAGCACAACAGCACCGACACGCTAGAACAGCACACTCAGCTCCTCGTCAGAGGTAGGTCCTGCCAACGGAACACGGCAGCGGGACGTGCTATCGTTCTGCTGATGGAGCAGAAATGCTGTGCATCTGCTGCTCCCTTTAAGCCTTTCAAAGCAGAAGGTGCCCAGCATTTCTTAGGGACTGTCCTATTATAGACTTTGTGCTCTGGTTTTGGGGGGGTTCACATTACTGTATGCAGATTGACACCTAGCCACACATGTTACTCATCCAGCCCCTGCTGCTTTTGTATAAAATATTTGCCTTACACATAAAGGTGATTTCAGCTGTATTTTATCTTCCTAACTTCATGCTGGGTGCAGATATAGTGTTGACTGAGGAGAAAAGGCATCACCACCATGTTACTAACAGCACAACTCTACCATTTGGGACTGTCACCCCAGATCTATATGACTTTGGTAGGAGACTCCACCCACTTACAGCTGCCAGGATGATACAGATACCTAAATAGATTTGGACCCAGCAGACGTAATCACAAATGTCACTGGTCAAGTGTATAATCAAGTGCCATGTACCGGTTATTCTGGGTAAGTGGGATGCACTTCGTTGTAATAACAGTATTTTCTTACTTATACTCAACCCCCCAAGTCTTGTCTTTTCATAAAAATAGTACCAGTACAGATCCTGAAGCCTGGTTTCCTTGGCTAAGTGAATATAAAGGGCAGGACACTTCTTCTGGTAGAAACTCACTGAAAATTAGTGAAGTTTCTTATACTTCATAGTGAAGAGAGTGAGTGATCAGCTCTAAGCCCTCTCAGAAGAAAAAGTGCTGCTGGAATGGGTGAATTTATTAGCTATCTTCCAACGGTGAAGAAAAACCCAAAGCACAGAAATGGAGTAGAACTGAAAGGAACAGCAGCAAGGCAGGGTGCAGAAGACAGAGTCCTTCAGAAGCCAAATTAGACAGTGATTTTCCAATTGGCTTCTCCGCTTACATTACTGGCTAACGAGACACTGAAGGGACAGCTATGCTGCCATAAGCACTTGTCACTTAGGTAAAAACCAGGCCGTGTGGTGCTGGCTTCATCCTTGTTTAAGTGAAGGAGCACATTTCCCATGCAGCCTCCTACCCCGTGCAGCCACCACCACTCCCAGAGTCCGCTGCCGCTCCATGTAGGCACACACACAAGAAGAAAATGCTCACCCACGCCACAGCTGCAGCTAGCACGGCTCTGCTACCTGAGTGGGAGGCGATTTATTTTAAGAAGTGGCATGAGCACCTGCCTCTTCCTGAAGTGCGGAGGAAGGGAAAGAATCTCACCCTGGTATTACAGAGTGCTGGTGGTTTGGCTTGTCCCCACAGCCGGCACCGGAGCCACCTGTCAGCATCATCTGACATGGAGACACTGGGCTTTCTCTGCATTCGGCATTCAGGCAATTCACTTTTCTCTCCCTTGGCAGATATTTTTATTCATTTAGTCAAATTTCCACCTACACAGACACCTACACACAATGGCTATGGGAAAAACACAGCTAAACTGGGAATACATCCATGGGAGAACTGGAACCTTGATCACATTCTTCTGAGAAATGCTGGGGTCTGTTATTTGTCTGGCACATGTCAGAGGCAATTCTTCTGGAGAACACACGCGGAAATGCCCCTCTTCCCAGCGCTCCTTCCCCGATAGAAACAAGGTCTTTTAAATGTACTAACACCCATCAGCTACTGTCCGTATTGCAGGTTTTATGTCTTTTTATGCTGTGCTTGTGACTTTATTCATTGCTTTCCTGTACCTTTTCTAAATGAACATAAAGTGAGGGTTAACATGCTTTGTAGTAAGTAGATAGCTGCACTCTTGATGGAGGACACAAAATCCTTAGAACTGTTTCCTCTTTGCCTCCTTCTTTCTTTTTTTGCATTCACTCTCCATTTGCTCTACCCACTCGCTGTCCTCTGTTTTCTTCAGAAGATGAGAACCTCAAGGAGGTTCGAGCTGAAGCCAAATCTAAGCTTAGTCAGTTTGAAAATAAACCAAAGGAACTCACCCACTCCTCCCATAATCTTTTGGGGGATTTTTGCTACCACTCATCACCCAAATCTTTGCCACTTCCAGCCCAGAGAGGCCATGCAGGTGGCAAAAGAAGATGGCAGAGCTGTGGGAGGTTCCTTCTGAAACCTTACTGTGTGCTGTTTTCCTTTGTGACCGTAGCAAAAGCAGCACCATATGTGATACAAAACCTCACGGATCTGGAGGTTAACATCAGCGGCAAGATCATTCTGGAGTGCAAAGTCAGTGGAACGCCAGAACCTCAGATTACGTGGAGGAAGAATGGCTACCCCATTGCAGCAGCATCAGGTGAGTGTACTTGCTTCCCGAGCGTGCTGTGCTATTGTACGTAACACAGGATAATGGTACTCGCTGATTCGCCCCAAACATAGGACCTACAACTCCGTGGCTACTGCAAGCATGGCCGAGTCAGGATGGTATACGGAACCTCAGGAAATGCACACACAAATCCAAATATATCGGACCACTGCAGTAGTTTCCAGCTCGGACTTTGAGGTCAAAGCTGCCATCCAGTTGCAACCCAATGCCAGCTTATCCAGCTTGCCTTCTGCACGTGGCAGTGTCTGTGTCTGCAGAGTCAGCCAGATAGTCTGCATACATTAGTATGGCATTAGTAAATCAGGGAGTACAGTCTGCTGCTGTTCGGTCTGCTTGTGCAAGACAACAGTTTGTTACAAACCCGAGACAGAGTGTACCTGCTCGTCAGGTGGGTCTGAAAACACAAGCCTGACCCGTCAGATATCCTTGGGGTCTGATCGGAATATACGGCAGCAAATTGTGGGCAGTCACCGAACAGTCGGGTCCAGGGCACGCCATGGCATATGACACCTCTTTTCTTTGTCTCCCACAACATAGAAATGAGAACGTGCTCCCAGCCCCACGGGTACAGAGCAGTACAGGTGCAGTGCTACCATGGGCAGGGAGCGTGGGCTCCCTTACCTGGGCCTGGAATTCCTTCCCAGCTCTCTGTCCCAACATCTCCTATAAATCATGGAGAATCCCATGTCAGTAGCTGGTCTTGTGACTTTAATTTTGCATCTTGGACTAGGTAGGAAATCTAGGATCATCCATAATTCAGATCAGACTGTTCTGAGAGAAACTCTTTATAGCTACTGAAATTTTATAAATAATTCTAGAGGGACAAGCATGTAACTCATCCAACCAATGGAAACATAAATAAAATATTTGGAAAAAACACCTCAGGGTAAATATTTCAGCACAGTGCATGGAAAGTCATGTGCAGTACTCATGTTAACAACAACAGGACTCACAGGCAGAACACCCAGAAACTCAAAATGTCCTTCCCTTTTGGATTCAAAGCCTGACCTGTTTCTTTATTTCTGCCCCAAACATATCCTTAGTGAAACAGATGAGCTCTCAGTTTTGTGCCACATATTAAGGAAAAAATAAATGTGGAAATTTAATCGGGAAAATTACATGTAGAAAAGCCTCACATGGATCGTATCTAGGCAATCTCCCTCTTTCTACTCCACCTCTAGCCCATGGCTGCCTGTGAATCCACGATTGCTCAACACAGTGATTTTCCCAGGGATGTGCATAACCTGATTTCCATGTTCCACATGTTAGAACTCCCAATACTTCCCACAGCCTCCAAGACATCAGCTTTCTCCAATAATTTCACTGAATTCCCTTTTTTCCCTAGTGTACCTTATTGCTATCAGAAAACCTATCTACCCATAACTTCCGTAGACATTTTCTCAGGCTCTGTCTGCTCATAATAAATTAAGAGCCACATTTGCTGTTGGTTAAATGATCCCCAAGCAATTTACACGGGTACTGAGGAGAAAAAAAAGTCAGGGAAAGGTTGTTGCCAGACTACAATGAGGAGCATAGTATTAAAATGCCTCCTAACAGCAGCATGTACTGGGTCTGCACGGACAGGAGCTGACTTCCAGTTGTCTCCTAAAAGCATTTGTAGGCAGGTAGGTTATTGTGATAATACTAACTGAAATCCCTTACAACAGGAATTTCCATGGAAAATAATACCCTGGTCATTGAGCGAGTGAAAAAGGATGATGAAGGGCTCTATGAATGCAAGGCGTCCAATGACATGGGCCAAGACAGCACATCGGCCTTCATTAAAATACAAGGTGAGTTCCAAGCTAAGGCGAAACGCATATATTGTGTTGGACTGATGGGAACTATTGTTCAGTCATGGACTTTGGCTACATTTAAAATTTGGTTGTACATTTAACCTGCAGGTTCTGAGGAGAAATCCAACATTGAAGTTATCATTTTGGTCTGCACTGGTTTAGCCGCTACCCTCTTCTGGCTTCTTCTGACCCTATTCATTCGGAAACTGAGAAAAGTAAGAGAGCTTCCATATCGCACAAAGGGTCTGGGACTGGGCCCAGTTTATGCGTAGAGTTGAGGGCCAAATGTTTGGGACAGATGGTAGAATAACTCTGCAAAACGTTCCTATAAAATTTCAGTCCAGGATTTCTGCTGATAGTCCTTTGACTTCTGAAAAGATCACTTGCACTTGTGAGATTTCTACCCACTTCCATGGTACCATAATATCAGGCTCGTTCCTCTTTATGAATCAAACTGGCTTGCAAGATTAGGAAATTGAAAAAAAGTCCTAAATCCCCTAAAATGAGGGCTTGATTTCAGCACTTGTCCACTCAGATTTCTCTGAAACGTAGGTATTAGAGAGGGCCCTGTTTTAAGAAAGATTACAGGCTGTTTGCTCTAGAAACGAGCTCAAACCACACAGCTTATTTCATCTCCAAGTCTTGCTATCCTTTCATCTCGCTTTTGTGACTCAAAAAAGTAAAGTTTCAGTAAAGTTCCAAGGAATTTAGGTCTGTTTCTCCTAAAACAAACAGTAAACAGAAAGGAAACCGCAGCTCTCTGCTCTGAAGCTCACCAAACTACAGTTCCAGTGCTGATCCCTTATAGAGTAAAATTTCCCCTCCTATTGCAAATCCAGTGATTAAATTAATGTTTTCCTCCTTGACCTCAGTTTAACAGAGTTGTGGACAACAGTGAAATTTCCTATTACGTTTTACACCCATGCAAGTCTGCCCACAGGACCCACCAAATCACAATTTCTCACTGAGCAGCATTAGAAGTAGCAGTTTTCACCAGCTTTCAATTTTAAATTGTAATAAGCAATAGCCATGAAGTGGATAACTTTGGAGAATCAACCTGCAAAACAAAACACTATGAAAATGCCAAAATGCTCTGCAGTGTATCAGAAAACGCAACTCATGGAGTTCCCAAAGAAAAGCACTGATTTCCTTTAATAGATACAGGTAGAAGACAGTGATAGATTTTGTGTCCTCAGAGTGTTTACCAACATTAATCAATGACTCTTTGCAACACCCATGAGTGGCAGGCATACATAAATATTTATTTCCCAGATATTAAAAAAAAAAAAAGATAGGCAGGAAGCTGAAGCGATGCATTCATGGTTCAGAATAAATTTCAGAGCTAAGTCTGGAATTCAAGGAATTCCCCAGCCAGCACTCAGTCTTGCAGACGACAGTTCTCCCATTAGAATTGCAGGGTAAAGACTGTGAATAATTTCTCCACACCCTGTTTTTAGCCTGATGCCACAGATATTAAAACAGGATACCTGTCAATCATAATGGATCCAGAGGAAATGCCTCTTGACGAGCAGTGTGACCGTCTTCCCTATGACAGCAGTAAATGGGAGTTCCCAAGAGACAGACTGCGGCTGGGTGAGTGGTTTGGGTATTATTACTGTAAAGAATGATGATTTCTAACGCTCCTCAATTTCAGTGGATCTGTTGTATAACCCAAGAAGCAGCCTATCACTCACTGCCAGTGTACTACCATCCTCGGGGAGAATTGGCAGTGAGTCACAGAATTCAGGATCATCTTTAATGGGGGGTGAAATACGGGATTTGGTAAGAAAAACAGAGATGTTGTCTTTCTCAAGATAGCTACCACCTCGTTTTCTGTCTTGGAGAAGTGAAGCCAAACTCTTGACAGGGAAGAAAGGGACGTCCAGGTTCTGTCCCTGCCAAAAGTATGGCTTCACACCCATA